ACGTGTGCTGTCAGCTGTAATCCATGAGCAATATAGATAAAATTCAAGACTTGATTTGATGTTCTCTCAAAGCATTTTGATTACTTTGAAATAGAAACAATTTAAAATCTTATAGAGAGCAACAAATTAAAATATTTTGTTACAAAAGGCAAAAAATAACTCGTATGTAATCCTGAACATATCAAATGGTTAATTGGATTCAAATTTTGGAAAGGTAAAAGTTACTTCCAGGGAGGTTGCTTATTGATTTTGCTAAGAAATGTTGCATTATACGTATGTTCATGAAGCAAAATATTCAAAGATGGATTTTTTCGAAAATATTTTGTTTTTAAGAATGGTAAAAATATAAAATCTGAGAGTAAACTGAAACATATCTGTCTGTAAAAACTAAGATGTACTATGTAGTGTTCATCAAATAAAATATAATGTTTTGTATTTGTGTTATGTTTATTAAACACCAAGCCCTTTATTCACTTACATTTTTCCTTAGAAAAAAAAATCATATTATTTAAGTGAATGAAAAAGGTGAAGATAACAAGCAATGATTGATCTCAGAAAACCAACAAATAATGCTGTGAACAGGGCATAAAACTGAAGTGGATAATTATTATATAGATTTGTAAAGAAAAAAAAGACATAGAAACATGTCGATTTCATTTTCCATCTTAAGAAGTAGTGGAAATGTGAAAAAAAAATTATCAAGAGACAAAAGGGTATCCATTTTCTAACACCTTGGATACTTCTTAATGTGCTGATACTTTATAATAAACTGATACTTTATACCAAAGTTTGTTGATAATTTGTCATTTTATGCTGGTATTTTGTCATCATATGCTGAGACTTATTCATTATATTCTGATACTTTCTCATTATTTGCTGATATTTATTATTTGCCGATACCTTGACATTATATGCTGATACGTCTTTATTTCTGCTGACACTTTAACATTATGAACTGATCCTCTTCATTTTAAGCTGATTCCTTGACATTTTTTGCTGATACTTTCTCATTATTTGCTGATATTTATTATTTTCCGATACTTTGACATTATATACTGATACTTCTTTATTTCCTGCTGATACTTTGACATTATGTGCTGATACTCTTCATTTTAAACTGATCTCTTGATATTATATGCTGATACTTTGCCTCTTTGTGCTAATAATTTATTGCATGATGATATCTTGTCATTTTTTTGCAGATATTTCTAATAATATATTGATACTTTTTCATAATATGCTGATACTTTGTTTTAATATACTGTTATTTTTCATTTTATGTTGATACTTCTTGATTACGTGGTGATACCTGAATACTACGTGCTGATACCTCTATGAAATGCTGATGCTTCTTTATTACTAGTACTAGTATATGTTGATAGTGTGTCGTTAGATGCCAATACTTCTTCATTATATGATGGTAGTTTGATATTATATGGTGAATTTTTGACTTAATTTGTTGATACATTATTTTATGTGGATTTTTTACGTTTACTTTCTCCTTTTATAATGACTCTATATAGGATGATGATTACTTTTTATTTTGATGACATTTCTAATTTTTGCAATAGCAAACTAGAGGAACTGTGAGCAATGAGCTCAAAAAAGGATACCCCCGCCTCCCATATGAGTATATTGGCAGTGTCCATGTTTCGCAATGAAATACCCTAAATATCTCTGAGACCAGAACATAAAATAGGAGGTGCACAGTGACACTATGTAATAAAGATTCCGTGAGCTCACTGCTTATAGTAACTCTAGTTTCTTGAAGATTTTATTCTTTGATTTTATAAATATGATTAAATAAAGTTTTTTCATTATATTTCTTTTTTACTTTTCTTGACAGATTTTATTAGTTATATCAAGATGAAAATTTTACTGTTATAAGAGATTTTTCTAGTTTCTAAAATTAAGTTACTGTTTTGTGTTTTTTTGAACAACTCTTTCTAAATTCTTGAGTTTTTCAAATCATTTTCTTTATTGAATTTACGACTCTTAATCTTTATTGAATTAAAACATCGGCGATTTCAGATAATCCAAGCCAATTGGGTTTAACACCTGTCATCGTTTGATATTGCTAAATTATCTTTAGGCAAAATAACATCAAAAGGACGATAATCTGGCCCTCAATTATTTTAAGGGTTTACTCAAGTGTCAAAACCTTTATCTATTTGTCTCCAAATGTCATTTTTACACATGTCATTCTATAATTGTTATATATACTGTTGAATTTGTTTTGGATGATCAGTCGGAATCGGACAGCCGTCCCGAGTACACCGACCTGTATCAAAATTTGTCAGTTCCATATTAAAAGTTAAAACGCTGGTTGGAGTTTGTCTCTAATCTGTTTAATAAGACTCATAGATAGAAAGGAGCGCAGATCGTGGCTGACAGAATCCGTGAGCGGCATCGTCAGGGAACTCAAAGAGAAGTTCTTTAAGCGAGATATAAGACGTTCATAGTTTCTACATAGTCTTATTTTAGCACAGCCTGAGTGTTGATCGGGCGAGATCTTTTTTTTTTTAGAAAAAAATTGTCATATACAAATTTAAATTGAAAATTCTAAATTTTTGTAGAGGACAGTTAGCTATTCTATGAATTAATGTCTTAATTGTGTCCAAAACAATTGTAATATTTTATCTGAAAAAAATACCAAAAATTCATATAAAACTAGAGATACTCTGAGCAGTGAGCTTACAAAATGATACCCCTGCTCAAATACGTGTATGAGTGTAAGGAAAATGTACATTTTTTGCTATGGGGAAGCCCATCTGTCCGATCAAAATATAATGTAGGAGAACAACGGAACCATGTGATAACTATCGTAATGCGTAACTCCTCCTGTACTACTGAATAAAATTTCATTGAACTTTCAGTGGTATAGGAGGAGTTGTGGATATGAGATGGGTAACCCCCCCCCATAATTTTAGAAAGAATGTAACATTGGAGGTACCCATCTCTTATCCGCAACTCCTCCTATACCACTGAATAAAATTTAATGACACTTTCAAGAATCTTTCTTACATAGTGCCATTGTGCACCTCCTATCTTACTTTTGATCGGACACATATTTCGGGTTTCCCATTGCAAATCATGGACGCTGCCATTCTTTTTATAAAATAAGGTTTACCAATCTCTTATCTGCAACTCCTCCTATACCCCCGAATAAAATTTAATGAATCTTTATTACACAGTACCGTTGTGGACCTCTTATTTTACTTTTTGACTTGACAAATGTTTTAGATTTCCCATAGCAAAACATGGACACTGCTATTCTTCCTGTAATATCAGGGATACCTATCTCATATCCGTAACTCCTCCTATACCAATGAATAAAATTTAATGATACCTTCGCAGAATCATTATTGCATAGTGCCATTGTGCACCTCTTACTTCATGTTTTGATCGGACAGTTATTTGGGCTTTCCCATAGCAAAAATGGACTTAACCGTTATACTCATATGGGAGCAGGGTATCATTTTGTGAGCTCAGTGCTCACGATGTTGCTTAAAATAGAAAGTTGTAAGATAACGTCAACGGCAAGCAAAGCGTGACAAAAATTGGCACACATTAAAAGCGAGATAACTGTAGCTCGTATCCTTCTTGGCATTTGCTACCATCCAGGAAATTTACATATAAGTGAAGTATACCGATACCAAAATAAATAGGGGAAAAAAGCAATGATTCCCTTCTTTACACTACTAAACTTTTGGGCAGGCTGCATCTTTCGATGTATGGGAAGCATCATCCTGGCAATTAATCAAAATATAAGATTCAACAATTACTTTTAAGTCAAATGACAAAGTTGCAAACCTGAAAGTTACGAAGGTCATTGTGAGAATTCTATGGTTTGTTTTTCTCACAGACGGGGGGCGGGGGGAGTGTGAATTCAACTTTTGAAAAACTAGCCTTGGGATAATTTTCCCTAATAAGGAGTTTAGTTACTACGTGTTTGTAAAATCAAATTATGCATTATCGAAGTACAAAAATACATTAATAATGAGGGCAGTAAAATGAACGTTGGCGTTCATGAATGAATTGAATTAAATGAATTGGCGACCGACAAGCATGCATGATATGCCAAGAAATTCACCACGGGTGAAATTTGTCTTTCTCTATCCATGTACTTTTCTCAACTCAAAAAAAGAATGCCTTGCTTTACACCCTAAACTCCATACTTTGCTTCTTGTATTATATATCGAAGCTTGAATAAAATTTTATAAAATTTATAGATTTTAATGTCTGTCAATATATTGTTTGTCAGAATTCGTCTAGTGTAAAAAAATTATATATTTTTTTATAATCGGAACCAGATCAAAGCTGTACTTTGATCTAGCAAACGTTTGCTGCCTGTAGAATTGGAAATAACTTTGTTCGGTGTGTTCGTCGATTTCAATGCACGGGTAAATTCAAATCTGATGAATTCTCTGGCTTTATCAGACATAATGAAAGGTACACTATGTTCTGGGTGGTGAGTGACAGACCAATTAAATGCTAGTATTCAGTCAAAGAGACAGAGTGTGCTAACAGTTTAATAATAAGAAATAGAACTAGTGGTTTAAATCTGACGCTTCTAGTTTACGATTTAAAAAAAAGTGGGTGCCAGTAGTCCAACATGAGGGAAGTTGCTTACTTGTTTTTACTCATTGAGGTAGCATGTACCTGTGTGATAAAGTAGCAGCAGGTAGTGCATGTGAAATCAACACTCTATAGTAGTTTGGATATTGAGACGTATGTTTGTACTTTGTAGGGACTGCTTGTATTGATTTTAATATAACAATCTGTATGTAGATGTATCCGAAAATAACGAGACACCGGCTATTGTTTGTAAAGTCAATATTGTACTGTAGTATTGCTCCATAGGTTGGTTTTAGAAAGAAAAGGTATGTGTACAAAGCATGTTCCTGTAAAAAAAAAATGATGAGATTGGTATTCCATGGCTTACTTCTCTGAAGAAATAATTTCAATACAGCAATTTTATTGGCTGACCTTGGAAAATGTTTTTGAATGTACATTCATTAAAAATTACATACATGTATGAAATTATTGCAGCGTGGACAAATATATTCTGAATTTATATGCTCGATATTTTGAACAAAAAATATTTTCAGAAATCATCCATTTTTTTTTTTTATCTTTACAGCATATATGTTACATTCATATAGATTTTCATTGAAGACATTCTTTAACACTGATTTACATTTTGTTTTATTTAGTATCCTTCCTGGCACTAATGTGCTTTGAAACTTAAAAAATACTATAATTTAGTCTGAATGGATGGACTTGGATTTCAAATGCGAAATTATGTTTAAAATTTGTAATATAGCGGAAGACGTTTCGATGAAAAATGTAATTGATTAGGTCACTTCCCATACAACATTTCCTTTGGAAGTGGGCGTGGTTTCATAAGTTTGGTAAGGCGCGTTTTCTGTTCCTGAGTCAGAGCTGGAAGTCTTCCGGAGGCCGAGGATACCCGAGAACTAGGAGGCCGCTTCTGTAAACGATAAAGGATTTTTTTTAAATTTCTCTTTTAGGTTCAATTATTAGAATAAGTGTTGAACTCATTTTTAGTTATTCAGCATTAAAAATACGACATAATCTGGTGTAATTTTAAAACTGTCCATGAAACAAACATTGAATAAAAATAATGAACTAGTATTAATAACTGTTATAAAGACATATATGGTATACATATAGAGTTATATTCATTAATATATATTACGTACAATACATGTTAAATTAGTTTTTGTAAGTTAATAGCGATATATAGTTATCTCTCTTGATATCCTTAGCATGGGTAGTAAGTTGCTATCAGTTTACGAAATCTAGCATTTTATAGAGCTCAACGTATTACAAAAATGAAAAAATATGAAAACAATTTAGTTTTACACGCCAAGCCCCTGCTTTATTTCCCGTGGAAAAACTTCGCCTTTTTTATGGAATTATGACGTGAAACAATGCCCGATAAAGGAGACCTACACCAGCAAATTTAAAGAATATCAGGAATGTCAGAAATTAATGAACAGAAGTAAGAAATGAAAGTTGGACATAGATACACATCCTCTCCATAGGGGCATGCCTTCCGGATTGTTATATGTAAAATAAATTAATAAAATTTTGAATCTATTTTAAATACTCTTAAAAAGTTATTACAATAAAGTTCCTGGCACTTTCAGACAATAAATACTATATTTAAAATACGTACCATATCTATATGCATAAACTCTACAAAGGACGAAAGCTGCCATCATAGAAAAATTACCCCCACCTACTTAAACACCTATTTCTGGACTTTAAAGCATTATTTCATTGCCATGATTCTATTCTAAACAGTGATAATTTTCCTAAATGTTGATGTGTCTGTCAGTCGTCAACACGCGTTCAATCAACATAAAACATATATTTCTTCCATACGGAGACTCATATTTCCAAATCGACCTGGAAGGAACGGAAGTTTACAAAATCGCAAGGGCAGAAAATCAATATAAAGTGTATAGGAAAAACTCAGAAGGTTATCGAAAGCGAGTGTAACACCCAAAAACTTCCAGCTTCAGGGATAAAAATGTTTTCCGACAAGAAAAGGCAGTTAAAAAAATGGCTTTAGTTTGGTTTTCACAGGCTAAGGCGGCACCAGGGAGGCTCATTTCATTTAATGTATAACTAATTAGTTACATAATATACAGAGCACTTGCTATACAAGCACGCTAGATGTTATACGCGCTATACGTCAACAAACGTTCAGTCAAGAGAAAACGGATATAATTTCTTCGATTCGGGGGCTATCTCTCCAAATCGACCTCGAAGGAACGGAAGTTTACAGGGTTGCATGGTAACGACACAAGGGGCGATAATCGTGGTTTAACATCTAGCGCACTTGCATAGCAAGTGCCCTGTATAAATAGTTTTCGGTAGACACGATTTTAGCAAGAGTTATTTCCCGTTGGTCGCCATATTGGAGGTATACAAGTCCGATTTCCTTCATTATTTAACCAATTAAAACTTGTCATACTGGGCAAATTGGGTTCTTACAAATTTATGTTAACACAAGCTTCCTTTAATTCGTAATTTTGGTATTTTGAAGAGTTTTGCCCTTATATTTCTGCCATACAAGTTTAAAATTGGTTGCTCAAAGAGGAAAATTCGCTAGTTGGACCTCCAATATTATGGCGGCCAACGGGAAATAACTCTTGCTAAATTCAGGCTTATCGAAAATTATCTATATTATGTAACTAATAAGTTATACATTATATGAAATCAGTCTTCCCGGTGCCAGCTTAGCCTGTGAAAACCAAACTATAGCTAATTTTTTAACTGCCTTTTCTAGTCGGTGAACATTTTCCCCCAAAGCTGGAAGTTCTTGGGTGTTACCATTCGCTTTCGATAACCCTCAGAGTTTTCCCTATACATTGATTATCTGCCCTTGCGATTTTGTAAACTTCCGTTCCTTCCAGTTTGATTCAGAGAGATGAGCCTCCGTATCGAAGAAATTATATCTGTTATGTGTTGATTGAACGCGTGTTGACGACTGACAGACACATCGACATATAAAGTCATCACTGTAGGGAATTGAACGATGACAATAAAATAAATCAATGCTTAGAGTCTAGAAATAGGTGCTGAAGTTGGTGGGGGTATTTTTTCCCAAGACGATAGTTTTCCTTCCTTGTAGAGTTTATGTGTATAGATGTACTTTTTTTTAACATGGCAGTTCTTCTCTGAAAGTGTCAGAATCTTTATTGTAACAACTTTTTAAGTGTATTTAAAGTAGATTCAAAATTTTATTAATTCATTTTACCTTTAACAAATCCGGAAGACAAGCCCCTTTGATCGTCTCGCCAGTTGCGTGTCATTTCACTGTTTTAATAGTATGAAATACACGCGCTTGAAAGTTGCACTTCTAGCACAGGAATGTTATTATTGTATCTTGTGATACACTTCGAATTGAGCTGTTTACAGTATTTTTAACATTTCGCCTAAACAATGCACGGATGCATAAATGTTAATATAAGGTTATAGAAGAAAAGCAAGTCCACCGCCATTTTACAGATTATATATGCTGCAGAAAGTTTAGTAAGCAATGCATGCTGCACGACAAACGTTACCGCCACTCGGGAACCGTCAGTGCTTACGGATTCGTCCAGAGACTGTACGAAGGCATAGGAGAATGATTTCTCCCGATTGCCAATGTGGGGTTCCGACTTAGATTGTGTGGGACCCGCAGCAAGCACCTGTTGTTGTGTGATGGCGATTTTCCCTGCCCTGGGGTCCACCATTAGTTGTTGACCGTCCGTAAACATTCGGTTGAAGTTGTTGTCCCTGTTGCTGAGTTCCATACGGTACCTTTGTACCTCCCTTCTTAATTTCTCCACCTCTTCGTTGTAATCCTGAAATATATCAAATGATATTTTTCATTTTGCAAAATAAAAGACAATAGTATAACTTTTTGAGAGGATGTGTGTTATAATGTGTGATAAAAGCTGCTATTTACAAATCAATCTCAAAGTTGTAACATCGCTTAAAAATTTCCTACAAAAATTTGCTTTGAATGTGTCCATTCCGTCAAAGTTCTGGACAAATACGCATTTTTTCGGATTAAGTTATGTATAGTGTTACCTTTACGTTAGTTCTTGTAAATTGAACTTGAACAGAAGCATATTAAACTGTTCAAGCTTCACTATGAAATACATGATGAACGGAAACATATAAATGGAAGCAACATGCTGGACTATTTTTAGTACATCATGCAGTGCAAAAATTGTTTATAAATAAGATGAAAAATAAAAATTGTGTATTACCATTTGTGTGGGTTATTTACGAAGATTGACGTACATTTACATTTCTATTTGTCTTAATGAACAAAACTTTTTTCAGTTGTATATATGTTTACATCCAAATGCAAGTGCTTCGTGTTGCCAAAATATTCAAAAACGTTAAAAAATTGTGATAGTTTTATGTTTCGTGTATCAGCGTCACTATTTGGTCGATAAACGAAGGCAACAATCTCAGACTGAATTTGGAAACAAAATTGTCCATTTGCATCTACTTTGAAAATTAATATAACATTTATTTTGTATGATATATGTCTGCAGTCTGAAGCACGAAACATGAAAACGGTGCCTTTTACCTTAACCATGCGCGATGTGAAACCCTGAAAATATTGAGAACCGTGAAATTAAGCCGCAGTCACGTAATCTTATTTTAACCAATTACATTTACGAATTATCTGCACAGTCTCTGCAGATAAGATTATCACCTCTGCTCAAGACAAGAAACTACATCGAACATTATTCCCACGGACAAAAGAAATAAAAAGAAAAGGAAAGACTGATTGATTGATTGATTGATTAGTGTTTAGCGCCGAGTCGGCAATATTTCAGCCATATTTCGGCGGATAGGAAAGGAAAGAAAGAAAAATATAAAAAGAAAGGAAGGGATTAAAATTTCTAAATCAAATTTTGATCAGTAAGCGCTCTATAAAGGACTATTATAAATGATTTTTTTTCTTCTATTAGAAATGGTCAAGAAGAAGAAATAAGATTTTTATTGTGTTACAATTGTGTTATGAGGGAGGCAGATAAAGAAAAGAAGAGAATGGACATTACAGGAAGATAAATTGCAGATTGTATTACAATAGCAGCTTATATTAACAGGTTGAAATTGACCCTAATCTTGACTATACGGCTGAAAAATACTCATGTCAGTATGCTTGATAAATATAATTCAAAACAATAAAAATGCATAAATCTAGCACCATGCAAGTATGACGACATACCTTAATCGTCATGGTTCCGGTTGGCTGAAATAGACCACGTGACCATCTAAAATGACTATACCCCAACATAGGGAATTATTTTCTCTGTGGAAGTTTTTGAGTTTCCTATGACAGCGTCCATTTGTACGGGCAAGCAACATTAAAATTTGATTTTCTCTTTATTTAATAGATTCTTTTTGAATAAAATCTAATGTCTCCCCAGATCCCTTTCCTCAAGGACTTAGCTATATGTTGTTGACGAATGTCCTTAAACTAGTCTTAAATTATACCTAGTGCAATATTTAACAAGTGACGATTTCAAATGAAGGTAAACATGCATTTATTTCAACTTCTCGTCATCTTTGTCCAGAGAACTGAGCCTTTGATAAATGACCTTAAACTACAGTTATGCCAAACCTTTAGGTCACCAGCAACAACATACTTAAATTTGAATTCATTAAATTGAGAATTTCAAGCATGACCGAACATGGTTCACCTGTGGGAATCAGCAACAACATGCTCAAGTTTGAATTCTCTACAATAAACGGTTCCAAAGTTAGACTGGACACCACTGTCTAATTCCCAATCACTTTGACTTTTGAATAACCTTGACCAAAGGTCATGATTATCATGTTTGAGTTCATTCCAATCTTTTTCTCATGGACAGACAGCTAGACGGAAGGACGGATAGGCAGGCAACCAAGCTAAATCCAAGATGTTTCCCCTCTTTAAGGAGACAGAATTTTATCCTTCTCCTTTAGAAGAAAGAATTTTGTCCTTCTTCTTGAGAAGACAGAATCTTGTCTTAACATTCCTTTAGAAGACAAAATTTTGTCCTTCCTCTCCTTTTGAAGACAGAATTTTGTCCTCCTTATCCTTTAGGAGACAGAATTTTGTCCTCTTTATCTTTTAGGAGACAGAATTTTGTCCTCCTTTTCTTTGAGGAGACAGAATTTTGTCCCCTTGTCCTTTAGGGGACAGAAAGACGAAATTTTGTCCTTATTGAGGGTGCAGAGCACGCTTGTCAGCAAAAATACCAATGGGACTTTACTAAACAAGTAGGGAGAAAATTTAGGAAAAATATGCTTGTCGATAAAATAAAGAGTTTTAGTGATCTTTTACAGTGAATCCTAAAAGTTATTCTTCTTGAAGAGCCCTTTACTCTCCGCTTTTTATAATGTTTTAAATAAAATCAGGTACGTAATGTGCAAAAAACCCGCAATACGTACATATAAAAGAGAACAGTTATGTATTGAATGACAAAACCCCATGACCTTACCGTATACTGCCTCTGGGATGGTAACTGGTGGCTGGCGGCTTGGGCCCTTTGACTAGCGACTACTTCTGAAACTTTTTTGCTGAAGTCTCTTTTCAAGTTTTTCAAATCCGTTTCTAGTTTTTGACTTTTAGATTCAAAATGCATCTTTGATCTGTGAGTTTCCTCTAGTAGTGCTTGAAGTTGCGCCAACTCTCGCTCCAACTTTTCGTTACTCTTCTCCAAGTCTCGGATAATCTCTTTATAATGCTTTTCGTTCTCACTCTGTGTGTGTTCTAGATTAGCTACTTTCTGTCGAAGTCGCTCTAGTTCTTGATTCTTTCTGTGAATTTCTTCATTCTTACTCTGTAGCTGCTCTGCCACACCTTGTCTCAGTTTTTCAATGTCTTTTTGAGCATTTATCAATAAATCTCTCAGATTCTGACTTTCGTTTTTCTCGTCTGCTAATTGCTGTTCCAACGCTTTCACCTTTTCTTTCCACTGCTCTTCTTTTGTCGAGGCTTCTTGTTGGACGGCACTCTTCACTCGCTCACGACCTGCTTTCCTTTCCTTCTCTAAGAGTTTTTCGAGTTCTTTCCGTTTTTCTTCACTTTTTCCAAGCTGTTCCGTGGCGTCCTCTTGAACTAATGATATTTCATATTCATACGCCTCCTTCAATGCCTCGATTTCCACTTCTTTCTCGTGGTTTCGGGTAAACAACATGTGAACCACTTGAGTCAGTTCAGCGACCTTTTTCGACATACGAAAGTCGAACGTCTTTTTTGCCTTTTCCTTTTCAGACGTCATGGTCATTTGCCGATAGAGAAGCTGGGAAGCTGCTTTACTTTCTTTAGCATCCAGATTGACAAATGTTAATAACTGCAGTGAGCTTTCGGAAAAAAGTCTCTTCCGGTAATGAACCTAAGCACTACGAAAATAACGCGTCTCCCCAAGAAATGATCAATTTTTACGGCTGGACACTTCCTGAAAGAAAAGGAAAAAAGAATTATTTTGAAATGCACGAGTAGATTATTAGAATGGTTGACCATGTTTCAGACGCTAATAAATGGAAATTACACATTTTCAAGTGTTTCAAGCAAATTGTACGATAACAATATATGACCAATACCGCATATTGATTTCGGATCAGGAGGCAGTATTGTCTATAAATCACCGACAATGACTTGATCTGAAGTATTGACTGCAGACGACAAGTGCGTGTTTTAAAAGGCAACTTTGGAAAGTGCAGCTTGTATGTTTTAATCTACAATTCTATGCGTACATCGACCCCACTTGAAGGAAGATAGGTCGGCAATCGAAAATGACAACTATTATTCTTGTTTCTGGTGAACAGAAATATGCCCCTTCTTCAAATCAATTATATTTTGTAGAAAACAATAAAAAGAGACGATCAGGATTCATGCAGTAGTTTTCATAAAAATTCAAAAGAATCAATAGCAAGGGCAGATAAGTCAAATCAACAATTTAATCTAATTTGCTCCCAAAACTTTTGGGTAGTATCTGTAGAGAACAAATTTAGTATTGTTACCATCTTGCTCAAAGCACACTATTTTAAGTTTTTGTTCTTTTATTTTTGTTTGTTTGATTTCTTTCAATTTTTAAATCTTTTTACGATTCTGCATGTCTATTATATTCAGCTTGTGATCCTCTCTACTATAGTTGAACACTAGAAATGTAGTCTACATGTAAATTTACTCTTGGTCAAATTAAATCTCTAAATCGACTGATAATCTCATTTTGTTCGTGTCCTAGAGAATTAGCAAGATCTGGAACGTAATTGTTTCCCGGGGGAAAATATAACCACTGTTCTTTTCATAATCCCTTAATTAAAAGGCTAAATTAAGTCTGTAATTTGTAGAACACAGACAAAAGTGTTTCTTGGGAAGTCAATACTAAACCACGTCTTTGATACAGAATGCCTGTTACCACCATCTAGCATATTGCAATTTAAAAGTGAGAATATGGTTAGCCGATTTAAGAATTATTAGATTAACTCCCGGGGGAGTCGAGGAATAAACACACTTGTAATTAAGCATTTAACACTAAATCATAATAGATGAAAATGATTTTGCACGTATTAACACCAAACGGCGTGGCTCACTTATTAAACTATCGAGTAATTACAGTTTCATTTTGATTCGAATCGTAATAGTGTCACACATAATCACTTTTTAATTAAACAGGCGAATTTTTAATTTGACGAATTAGTTATCATGTTGTAAATTTTGTATATTACTCTCACCTAGTATATTCAAAATTTACATGATACCCTACCAGTATTTCTATAAAGTGCAAAATTCAATATCGCAGCCACCAAAGGGAGCAAATAAGCTGCAAGCATAGTTTCGTCCTTCGCAACAATCGTCTTTTTGTCTAACTTAGTTAGCCAGAATTATTGTATAGGAGTTACAGTGACAGTATAGTATGACATTTGGACGAAAACTTAAAATTTATCATCGAGAATCCGCTATGATTTGCTGTCTCGGGGCATTTCTGTGACCAGTCACCGAAAACTTTGATATCAGAGCAAGGATGCAGAGAGGGAACCGATCTCTAAATTCTGTTCATTGGATTTGATTTTTGAATTTCATTTCATTTATTTTCCATATTATGTAGTAAACAAGCGTTAGAAAACTTAAATCCCTCTCCCTAGAAAAGATATTTTATCATGAACAGATAGGCTGTCGTGTTTTCCACTTATTTTTCTTCAAAATAAAAGCTCTTGGTATGGTATTACCATTGTCTTTTATTAATTTTCAATCTAAAGTTGAAAATGATTCCATTAACATCCTTTCGGCTGGCTGAATAAAATCATGTCGATTAAATTCACGTTATCCTCAACAATGGTACACATCTACCCGGCATTTGTCTAAATCAGCTTCCCTCGCTTTATGCTGCATTTCAAGAGGAGGGGTGGCAAATTAAATTATTTATTTTATCTATCAATTTTTTAAAATTGTGGACTCTTTTCTTTGAAAAAATATTCGAAGATATGTGCTGTGTTAAAACACGAAATGTATTAAAAACGCAAAATGTAATAAACCTGGATTATTACATTTTGCTTTATTACACTTTGTGTCGAAATCAGCGCAGCGCTAAATGTAATAAAAAACTATTAGAAATATAACATTTTGCGTTATTACGTTTTGCGTTGATGTCAACGCAGAATATAGCGTATATGTAAATAAATTGATATTTTTTGGATTATTATATTTTTTGTTAGGTTTTGCGTCGATATTAAGCAAAATGCAACAATGCAAAAATATAATAAATAAATGTAATAACACTCTTTTTGGTCAGTTAGGTTGAGAATTTTCACACCAGTGATTATATATTGCTTTTTTATTCGCCGTTTCTTGATCTACAAAATATATGATAAAACAAAATGCAAGTTCCATTTCAAAGGATCAAATATAATGTGCCGATTTCCTGGCTATCAGACATGACAATTTTTATTAATTTATATTTTCGACATGCCCATGTCTTGTGTTTACGCATATTTGAGTAAGTAGTATTTCATTCGCCAATTATATCATTGATTTAATTCCACTTTTTTAAAATCATCTTTGCGTTTAGTGCCGCTAGTATCCAGTGGCCATACATTTCTTATGACAGGAGCTTACAATAAAAAAAATTTACCAGGAAACAAAAAAACTCAAATTCTATGAGACAAAGCTTTATTTATGTATAAACAAAGAACAATAATATAAAGGACATTAAAAGCATTTCATACTACTAACTGACTCATCCACTTCAGCACAATACCTATTCATATTTTAAAAGATTAAAGATACATGTATGTTTAAATCAATTCTATGATGTTTTGCGCTGAACACAATACAAAAATTATCTGGTGTTTTTACATTTCCTCAAAATGTTATAATAAAAAAAGTACATAATTACATTCTGCGTTAATATCGACGCAAATTGTAATAATGCAAAATGTTATAATCCTGTACTGTTATTACATTTTGTGTTATTACATTCTGCGTCGAATTCGACGCAAAATATAATAAAGAGAATGTAATAATCCCAGTTTATTACATTTGGCATTGTAACAATGCTGTACATATTTCAGTCTGGTTTATTTTTCTTTTTTTTTAAGATAACAATAGATGAATTTCATACAAAATTTGTTTTTGTTAATCATTTTGCGCGAAGGCATATATATATATATATATATATATATATATATATATATATATATATATATATATATATTACAATACAATTAGGGATGTCAACGAATAGTCGACTATCAGTCGAATGGACCGACGATCGAATAATGAAACGACATTCGAATATTATCATAATTAAATAAATGCAATAAAAGAGTGATGGTATTCTCATCACAAAATTGAGAAACCGTCTTTCCTAAGAGACAGTCGCTAAGATAATTTTCCTAAAAAAAAAAAAAACGGTTTATTTTCCATGTACGTATAGAAAGTACAGTAATTATAAGTGCTTCACTACTGCCGCGTACTGCGGGATTTATTTATCAGTAACTGCCCGTGTTGTTTTTGTAATTAATTACCCACCAATTTACTAGGTTTTGTTTGTAAAATTATAAATTGGACTTGATCTTATACCATGTACCAATTGTTTTTTGTTATTTTAAGATTGCTCAAGCGCAAGGAAGAACCATAACTGTGATATGTTTTGACACTTCGATAATTACATGTATCAAAACAATTCGCTTACATTTTAAACTGTATAAGGACATTTTGATAGTCTGAGCAAACAATAATCGAATAAGCAGTATCTAACTGTTTAACAATTTATAGGCACTTGACGTGTGGATAATGTGAGATTACCCCCCCCCCCCCCCCTCTCCCCCAATTTATTTCATAAAAATCTTTAAAAAATATCTCCTGGCAATTTTTTTCTTTGCTTATTTAAATAAAAACTGACTGCATGTACAAACTGATTTATGAATTCTACTGACGGGGAAATCATACATTTTGGAAAATTAGGTTTTGAAATTCAAATAATCATGCTATCCACGCGTTACGTTGCATAAATTTTTATGTTACTTCTTAATTAAATAGATTTAAGTAAAAGGGTTTCTGAATTATAAATAAATCATGTACCAGTGAAGTTTCAAATACAATTTTATTTTCAGGAAATGTTCCGAATATATTCGACTATCGTTCGAATAATGCAATCGAACAATCGACTAAGGAAAATAAATATTTTGACATCCCTAAATACAATACAATATTTTATTATGAAGAAATATGAAGAATACCTCTAGTGAATCCCACTGAAGACCTGATCAACAATTTGACATATTTAAATCAAATTTTCTCTCGAGTACATGCGCATTACATATCAAATTTTCAAATCAATTCCGTGAAGAATTAAACAATATGTATTTTACTTTTTTTATTTGTTTAGAAAGCGAAAAATCACCAGCTCATATACCTATTTTAAGGTAACTTTTTAAGTAAAGACAGCAAAGGACAACTTCTTTACGAAATTCCTACATATAGCCAGAGTCACGGAGCGCGAGCAGTTTGACACAATTCAACGATCATTAAATCAATTTCCTCAGTTTGATAAATTGAATTTCGAACCATGTCTTGTAAATAACATTTAGGTGTAATGTTCGCATTGGGTAGGTTTAACAGGTTAACATACTGGATTAGAATTCCTTGGTATTGATTTAAAAATCTGAATATCCAAGTTTTACAACGTGCATGTGCATTCTTTTTAAATAATGAAGAAGTAGGGGATCCAAAATACACAAAGGGTTTATTCTAATCATTCAAAAGATGCAGAACAAATCACATGTTTTCTTTCGTCAGTTTTCTATACACAACAAAGATCTTCATTCAAGTCGTTTTTCAAATGAAATGAAAAAAATGAATCAAGACATATAATTAACATTATCCATGCAAACATGCTGTATAGTTCTGTAGACATAAAAGTACATTGTTTGTTGTTTGTAAAGATTAATTGAGTGACTCCTATCTGTTACTGTGACACTCATCAATCAGTGTCCCTCTCTATCACCCAGATACATGTATCTGTTCCTGATTGATGCACCTGACCCAATTACACAGTAACTAAAGAAAAAAACGTATTAACTGGAATAATTTACATCACGTATATTCTTTGAAAAACCAGTTGGCATGGAAATGAAAATTTCCTCAATGTCAAAAAAACCACACCATATTTAGCGAATTAAAATTTTGTGTAATATCCCTAGCATGCAATGTTACTCGGATTTACCATTTTATTTATTGTTCTTTTGGTCAGGTTTATATAATCAAAGAACCCTCTTTTTTTTAATGTAATACTGTAGATAAGAATTGTTGAGATCATGGCCTTCAGGATCATGAAATGCTTTAAATATACATGCTCCGAGATTCGAATAAAAAGTAACGTCTAAATATCAAAATACTGGGTTCGAACTGGTGTATATTATATTGATAGACAGAGTTAATATTACCGAATTCCTTTTACTTTTATCTTGTTAAATAGATTACAACACACACCTATAAAGATGATTCTATGCGACCAAATTAATGTTGATCCGAAATGCCAGGTATTTTATACGTATAGAGTTTAAAACTTGTTACAACAGATCGATAGAAATGAAACCTATTTAAATAACTTACCGTGATAAGTATTCGGAAAGCTGAATTTTCTATATTTAGTCATTTCTGTTTGCAGTTTTTCCCTCTCATTGTTACCTAACAACACAAAGAATCTGTATCCTGTTTATCATATTTTAGTATTATCCGAATAACAATGGCCGACTCGCGTTTCAAGTTGTCAAATTCCAGTTATCAAAATATTCTGGTGGTGTTGTCCCGAGGATTTCTGTTGAAGATCGATCTAGAGATATCTTATCACACAGGCTAGCCTTTTGATACTGAAATAATGTGGCTTTAAAGTCTACAAGTTGTGTTTTAATAACGTGGAGAGACGAGCGAATCACAGAATTGCACCCGTATACATGACACAATGGGTGAACGACACAACGCATGAATTGCTACGAATAGCCGCTACCGAAAAAGCATTAATGTAAATATGTAGATATATTTAGTGATTTTATTTGTTGTAGGATTGTGTTTTGGGTATTTAAAATCTCATAATCTTAAGCGGTCAATTTGTAGCGTCCCTGGTAACAATGGTGAGGTAATCTTACTATTGTGTCGGTACGGACTTTTCTCCTTTAACACGGACTCGGACCTAGTCACATCTGGAATTAGAAATCAAATAAAATAGGATTAAAGGACTACAGACAGCAATGAAAATGTCAAAAAACAAAAACAAAAAAAAAATGATCGTAATTATTAATCTGCAGAGATGTGTACGTGGTAAAGAGATTTTCTGATAAGTACTGGAGTTTCCTCAAGGTTCGCCTGGGTGGTTAAATCCCCTTACAAAATTTTACTATAGTTAACGACAGTAAACTTTAGTTCATACTTTAATACTTTGAAGAACTATGAAAATTTATATGAAAACTACTCCTTTTAGCTTGTGAGTAAATTATGAGTAGGAGATTTATGTTTGTTACTGTTTTGTTTGTTTGTTGTTTTGCTGATTTCTTTCTTCTTCTTTTTTTTTTGACTGAGTATGAACCTTCACCACCCCTATTGTTTTTTGTTTTCTTCAAATCAGATCGAAGTGAGAGATTGTGAATTCTGAAGATCTTTCAACAGAACCAGCTGTATCGAGTCTGATGAAATAGAATGATCTAGGAAGATCTGTCTACAGAACCTGCAGTATAGAGTGTGATCAACGAGAGAGTGTGTGTGTGTGTGTGAGAGAGAGAGAGGATGTGTGTGTGTGTGTTCTAGGGAGATCTGTCTACAGAATCTGAAGTATAGAGTGTGATCAACGAGAGAGAGAGAGAGAGTGGGTGTGCTTTGGGGAGATCGGTCTACAGAAACTGCAGTATAGAGTGTGATCAACGAGAGAGAGAGAGAAGGTGTGCTTTGGGGAGATCTGCCTTCAGAACTTGCAGTATAGAGTGTGATCAACGAGAGAGAGAGAGTGTGTGTGTGTGTGTGTTCTGGGGAGATCTGTCTACAGAATCTGAAGTATAGAGTGAGATCAACGAGAGAGAGAGAAAAAAAAGAGAGTGTGTGTATATGTGTGTGATCTGGGAAGATTTCTCAACAGAACAAGCTGTTCAGAAACTAATGAAATAAAAAGAGAGAGAGAAAGAGAGAGTGTGTGATCTGGGAAGATCTGTCTACAGAACCTGAAGTATAGAGTGTGATCAACGAGAGAGAGAGAGAGAGAGAGAGAGAGGGTGTGCTTTGGGGAGATCTGCCTTCAGAACTTGCAATAAAGAGTGTGATCAACGAGAGAGAGAGAGAGAGAGTGTGTTCTGGGGAGATTTGTATACAGAATCTGAAGTATAGAATGAGATCAACGAGAGAGAGATAAAAAGAGAGAGTGTGTGTATATGTGTGTGATCTGGGAAGATTTCTCAACAGAACAAGCTATTCAGAAACTAATGAAATAAAAAGAAAGAGAGAAAGAGAGAGTGTGTGATCTGGGGAGATCTGTCTACAGAACCTGAAGTATAGAGTGTGATCTTTCTTTGTAAGGATTTTATGGAGTTTTGGAATCCAGTATAGGTAAGGTAATTCAAATTCCTTTTGATTGTTGAGAATATTAAAAATATTTAAAAGTGACATATGGCTTTGAAGAATCTCATCCTTAGAAAGGAAGCTATGGGTATAAGTTGGATTGCCACTTGCAGAATTAAATCCTAGTTCCTTTTTAATACAATTCAAATAATGAGCCTCACAAACAAAGACAATGTTGTTACCTGGTTTGTCAGCAGTGACTAGTACATACTGATCTTGTAATCTACCTATAAATTCTTTTTGTTTCACTTATGCATTGTCCAAGACAGAAGAATAGATGGTTTTCATATTACCTCAATCGCTTAATGCGCGATTGCAACACCCATCTGATAAATTTAATCCATTCTGACAAGGTGTCAAGGTCTTCTTTTTCATATTTGGCCCATCGTCTGGCGTAATCTTCCACGGAATTCATAATATTTATGAAATTATGACTCCAGTTGAAAGATAGGGGTTCCCTAAACTTTGATCTTCTTATGTGATTTAAGGTCCTCATTATTAACTTTATTTGCATCACCAGTAATGACGTGTCCAGCAGGACTATAGTTTATAGTTGTAGGGTGAAGAAGAACCTGAAAACGTTGGAGGATTATGTTTCAGATGATCAGTTCCGATATCTACGCACTGTAGAGGTTTTTTTCTATAATTAAAAAGTTTGGAAGCAAATGTATATTTGTTAGGAAAAAAAGGTGTGGCCTTCAACTTGAAATATGGTGGAATACAAGACTGGGCCTTTTTGTGATTACGAATATTACTTATTTTAATTGCGTCAATTCCTTTGTTGGTATATTGAATTTCAAGGAACAAAGGAATTGTTTGAGGAGTATTTTCTTCCCCCGAAACGTGGCAGTTTAAAGAACCCAATTTTTGATTTGCAATATCCTAATCACAGATCCAAGTTTGTATTCTGGTGTCGAAGAACCAAAAATGGAATTTCCTTGACTTTTACAAATAGACTATTCAAATATTCAAAGGGACAGAGTAAAGTTTGGTACGAATGTTATAAAGACCTGTTTATAAACATAAGGTAATAGTGAATCAAAGGAGACATTGTGCATAGTAGGTTTATTGTAAGACAGATGTCCATGACTACCCTTACGTCTCTGTGTACTGATAAAAAGTCCAATTACATTCACATTGCTAAACTGTGAGCTTGAAAAATTTCAAACATTATCGACATTGTAATCGCTACCATTTGGAAAGGGTGTGTCTAGTTTTCTAATCCAGTATTCTTCTTGTCTACGGAAAGGTGTATGCAGTGACGGGCTATTAGTATGATGGTTAATCTTTTCTTGAATTCTAACTTTCATTGACAAAATAGAATGATCAGGTAAATTAAAATGCTTGTATAGAAGCTGCTGGCTCCCGTTGTTCTATTTGTCTATATGCCCCGATATTCTTTTATGAAGTGAACCCCTGGTTTCACCAACATAAATAAGCTCACAAAGAGTACATTCTATTGTGTAGACAACATTAGAAGATTTGCAATTCAGATTTTTCCAAGGTTTGGTATAAAAGGTCTTTAATTTAGTTTTCTTCAGATGCTATTGCTGTTCCATATCTTCTAGGGTCTGGAAAAGGTGTTCCTTGCTTTCTAGAGTCTGTTTTAATATCCCCCATCCCCCTCCTTCTGATGTTACTGCAGCTCCTAAGTATGTTAATGAGTATACTTCCATTTTTCTCTTTTAATGTATATTTTTCTCCTCGTTTCTGTCACCATTCTCAAAGCTTTTGTTTTCCCAGCGTTAACCTTGAGTCCCATTTTCCCTGCTCCTTCCACCATATTTGTATCGGTCACGGTAGCCTAGTGGTAGGCCGTTCGAATCGTGATCAGGAGGCCCGGGTTTTGTCGTTCGCCGTGCCGCGTCAAACCTAAGACGTAAATATAGGTAGCGCTTGACATTAGAAGTGATAGTCACGGGTCCTTCAAATGAGACCTTTAAAATCGAGGTCCCCTGTCATTGTAGGCGTTGGCACGATAAAGAGCCCTCACTGCTTAATGGCGACGAGTGCCGTATGTAGCTATAAAATTGAAACCCTTCACAGGTTTATGGCAACGTCTCTATAAGAGTGAAAAATTGGGAAGTAAAACAACATACCGGTACAATCACACAATCTTCCACCATATTTGTTGTTTTCATTTGCATGTATTGTTTTGTTGATCTTAATAAGGTGACATCATCTGCAAAATCTAGATCAACCAGTTTCTTGTTAAAATTTCATCGTATCCCGGTCTCTCTATTGTTCACTAATCTCCTCAATATCCAGTCCGTCGCTATCGGGAATTAAAACAAGAGGTCCAAGGGCCTTAACGGTCACCTGAGTATAATACAACAATTTAGAAGTTAAATACACTGATAGATGAAGCTTTTTTGCCCTAAAGCAAGAGAAGTAGGAAGATCAGGATCAACAAAATAATTAGTCTAGTATTCAGTATCAACTCATAAATTAAGTTCTAATCTGTTCCCCACTTAACACTATCACCATGCAGACTATTAACAAACTATTAGTGCTTCAGTACTATTTTTAAACCCATATTAATAGCTCTAGCATTGACCTCTCTTATGGTCTTTGAAGAACTTTTAATAAGATAAGTTATTTTTGTCTCATTTTTATTTATCTATTACTTACAGGTCAACCTGATTATTAAAACTAAGAAAATACTTTTTGAATTATATGATAAACATTCTTGCATAATTATCTTATTCTATTAACCTTTCAAATACATTATTTACAGTGATTAATTATCAAAGGTGAATGGAAAAGGGGAATAACTTCTCTCAGTAGAATACAAATTAATAGAGTCCTGCCCAGGGCTAGAATGCTTAGACAAATGGTCCAGATGTTCAAAAATCTGGTAGAAATACGCTTACTTATATCATTTAAACTTTTACTCAGTTTTCTTCCAATATGCCCAGAAGCAGAGAAGAATCACAGGTACAATGCATTTTCACTACAGATTCAACAAAGCCTTACCCTAACACCAGAACCCAAGACCAAGGGTCAAGAAATTTACAAAGAAAGAGTTACCCTCATCATCATACCTATGGACTTCAAAGAATTAACACTTTTCCACTATATTATCAAAAGCCCCCCCCCCCCCCCCTAGTTATGCCAGAACCCCTGACCCTAGGACCACAAGATTTAAAAATTCTGTTCAAAGCTCACATTTTCATCATAGCTAAGCAATTTATTTATCAGATCAACGCTAAAGATCAGACAGGATTAATTAATGATTAATTAATAGAATTAATGCTTTTTCACTATATAATCAATAGAGCCCCCACCCCCCTCCTTCCTCAAGAACCCCAAAAACTGAGGCCATATATTTGAAAATTTTGGAAGAGGCATCCTTGCCTATCATAATCATGCACTTAGTTTGTTTAAATAATCTCC